ATAGATCACGTATGTGGCGAATTTTTTTAAAGGAAGAGGTATCTATGGCAAGGATTTTATTGCATTTTTCACTTAAGGCAACCATCTCACCTAAACCTAGTATGTATGTATGCATGCATGCATGCATGCATGCATATATGTATGTATGTATGTACGTGTATATATATATATATATATATATATATATATATATATATATATATTTGGTCCCTCTCCCTAATCGTTGTTCGAGCAGTGATCACAAGGGATCACCTTGGGGTTGGCCATAGGTGACCGACCAAGAAGACTAAGGTAGCGTTTGGTTGAAGACTTTTGCACACTATTATGGATTTTGATTCTCATTACCATATTTGTTTTTGTACTTTTGTTATCATTTTATTCGATTCAAATCTTTTAGTAATTACAAAACTCATTACATTTGTATTCTCCTACTTTTGAACAATGGAATAAAAAATAAATGAGAAAATAATGAAAGAAATAAAAGGTCATTCTTCATGCATTAAATATGAAATTTTAATATATATATATATATATATATATATATATATATATATATATATATATACACACACACACACACACACACACACACACACACACACACACCTTAAAAAGGAAAACCACGCACCTTAAATTTGACATAGATGCAAACCTTACCAAATTGCCACCGCGTTTTTAAAAAAAAATTGTTAATTCTGGATGTTGATTTAGGCGAGATAAATGGCTTAGAATTAATTGCACAACCGCACGGGAGCTGAATTATATATATATATATATATATATATATATATATATATATATATATATATATATATATATATATATATATATATATATATATATATATATATATATGGCGGCATTCAGGTGCGAACTGCCCGCCCAGGAGGGAACACAGAATGCATGACAATCGGCCACTTATCTAGATCTAACAGATGAGAAACACTAATTTTTTTTAAAAATGTATTGGCATTTTCGTAAATAATTGAACATTGAAGTGCAAGCAAAAACATATTACAAGTGCAAGTAAAATTTATTACAAGTGCTAGTAGCTGTTTCATATAGTGCACCTCAATGCATGTAAAATGTGTTACGAGTGCAGGTAAAATGTATTAGAAGTGCAAGTAAAATTTACATTGAGCATCAATAATAAGTGCACCTAACGTTATAACTAGGAGTACCTATAATTATGAATAGTTGCACGAATGCTAACAATGTAAAATTACTTGCACTTGTAAGTGAAAAGAGGTGTACTTGTAAGTGATTTTACATGCACCAAAGTTCGAGTTATTTACAAAAATGCCACCACGTTGTATTTTTTAAATTACATATGATTTGTTGATCTGGACACGTGAATGACTATTAATGGTTCTTATTTTTCTCCAAGGCGGCCGTTCGCATGAGGACGTGAGGACTAATCTAGACCATTAAATCAGGTGAGGACCTAATCTTAGGTGAGGACGTGAGGACTAATCTAGACCATTAAATCAGAATGATGTATGACTGAGATTAAAAGAAACAAATCACACGGATTAAGAAAAAAAATCCCTTTAAAATATTAAAATATATAAATTTAGGGTAAATCAGTCTTATTAAAAGATGTGCATTCCTATACAAAATTTTGTGCATTCCTATACTGAGTGTTGTGCATCAATAACTTCATTGTTGTACATTCAAACCCCGCCAAAAAATCATACAGTGAACATCCAATGTTCTACGATGCATTGAACTATGTGCTATAATGCACAACTCCCTAGCCTATAGTGCAAAACTTACAACACTAGGTTGCACAATCAGCACACACGAATGCACAATCTTACTACCCAGACATTTATACATATACACGACAATCCAAATATAGACAATATTATACTCAAAAGAACAAACGAAAAAAAATAAAAAAATACTGATTAGTTTGCATGGGCAAACACTCAATCAATGATGAAGAAATCGCGGCTACAAATTGCAACGGTGATGATCCAAGAAAATAGGAAACCAATTTGGCCAAGGATTATACATGCGTTCACACTTAAAAAAAAATAGAAAAAGACACTATTATCCCACTTTAACAAAAAAGATCAATCCATGTCATCTCAAGAACTCAAATCTGGACCATCCAAATAAAAAAACAAACGCACAAGATTAGTCCTCACGTCCTCACCTAAGATTAGGTCCTCGCCTGATCCGGATTCTATATATATATATATATATATATATATATATATATATATATATATATATATATATATATATATATATATATATATATATATATATATATATATAGAGAGAGAGAGAGAGAGAGAGAGAGAGTGTTCAGGTGCGACTACGTCTTCCCGTGCAGTCAGTGCGCGGTCGCACCAATAGTTATACAAATATACACCATCCATGTTAGGAAATGCACAACAAAAAACATGCACACACAATCGTACTACCCAGACATTTATACATATACACGACAATCTAAATATAGACAATATTATACTCAAAAGAACAAGCGAAAAAAAATAAAAAAATACTGATTAGTTTGCATGGGCGAACACTCAATCAATGATGAAGAAATCGCGGCTCCAAATTGCAACGGTGATGATCCAAGAAAATAGGAAACCAATTTCGCCAAGGATTATACATGTGTTCACACTTAAAAAAATAGAAAAAGACACTATTATCCCACTTTAACAAAAAAGATCAATCCATGTCATCTCAAGAACTCAAATCTGGACCATCCGAATAAAAAAACAAACGCACAAGATTAGTCATCACGTCCTCACCTAAGATTAGGTCCTCGCCTGATCCGGATTCTATATATATATATATATATATATATATATATATATATATATATATATATATATATATATATATATATAGAGAGAGAGAGAGAGAGAGAGAGAGAGTGTTCAGGTGCGACTACGTCTTCCCGTGCAGTCAGTGCGCGGTCACACGAATAGTTATACAAATACACACCATCCATGTTAGGAAATGCACAACAAAAAACATGCACACACAATCGTACTACCCAGACATTTATACATATACACGACAATCCAAATATAGACAATATTATACTCAAAAGAACAAGCGAAAAAAAAATAAAAAAATACTGATTAGTTTGCATGGGCGAACACTCAATCAATGATGAAGAAATCGCGGCTCCAAATTGCAACGGTGATGATCCAAGAAAATAGGAAACCAATTTGGCCAAGGATTATACATGTGTTCACACTTAAAAAAATAGAAAAAGACACTATTATCCCACTTTAACAAAAAAGATCAATCCATGTCATCTCAAGAACTCAAATCTGGACCATCCAAATAAAAAAACAAACGCACAAGATTAGTCCTCACGTCCTCACCTAAGATTAGGTCCTCGCCTGATCCGGATTCTATATATATATATATATATATATATATATATATATATATATATATATATATATATATATATATATATATATAGAGAGAGAGAGAGAGAGAGAGAGAGAGAGAGAGACACAGAGTGTTCAGGTGCGACTACGTCTTCCCGTGCAGTCAGTGCGCGGTCGCACCAATAGTTATACAAATATACACCATCCATGTTAGGAAATGCACAACAAAAAACATGCACAAATTAGGTACGCATCACCAAAATTGCACCATTTGGTATGAATAAAAGCACCACACAGTGTTTGGAAATACACTACGGGAGAAGAGTTGGTGCATTTTTTTTGTTGTGTTTTTTGTGCATGTGCATTTCATTGTTGTTCTTTTTCCTAACACTATTGGTGTCTTTGTTAACACGCTTGGTGTATTTTATCACATGGTCGCACGGGAGGGTGCAACCGCATTTGAACAAAAGTGTATATATATATATATATATATATATATATATATATATATATATATATATATATATATATATATATATATATATCAAGGTTGCAATAGGCGCTAGGTGCTAGTCGGGCGGTAGAGTAGCGCCTAATGCCTAGACGGCCTAGGCGGCTAACTGAAAAAATGAAAAATAGTGCATGTGTGTAGGTGCATATATGTCATATTATACGTATATACATACATATACACACACACACACACACACACACACACACACACACACACACACACATATATATATATATATATATATATATATATATATATATATATATATATATATATATATAAATGAAAAAAATTAGCAAGGTCGAGTCGGCCGGGTTAACTCGGCTAACTCGACAGAAATTGACAGGTTAAGCATTTCACTGACGCACTTTAAGTACACAATACACGCACATTAAACACACAGACAAAATACATTCAGAAAACAAACTCACGCACATTAAGCACAAAAGTCAGACATCTTAAGCACAACCCTCACACACCTTAAGAGCATCTCCAACGTGCCTCATATTTCCACGCCAAAACACCATCCCACCAAATTTCTCTCTCCAAGGTGTATCTGCATCGCGCCATTACGCCAAAAAAAATGGCGATAATGAACAGTGTAGCGCCATATTTGGCGCTGCACTGTTCATCCGCGGCAAATTAAATATAGGAAAGAAAATTACTCTTTTGCCCTTGCTTCTTTTTATAATTCCAAATGTATCCTTTATTTGTTTTATATGTAATTTTTTATTTTGTTAAATACTTATATTTAAAGTTTGTATTATTAAATAAAAATTATACCATTTTAAAGATCTCATTAATACGATCGAAACAAGACTAATATTGAATATATATTAATTAAAATTTCAAATACATCAAACATAACTAGAACATAATAAAAGTTAAAATACATACGAAATACATCAAACATGACTAGAACATAATACAAATTAAAATACATACGACATAATATTAATATTAGAAAATGCAAACACAATTTAAAAAAATATATAATAAAATTAATAATTTCCTAGTCCACTCCCACTTCCTCCCAAATTGTTAAAGTATTGATCAAATTCACGATTTGATTCAACTCCTTCTCCATGCTCTTGATTTCTCTTTGCAACAATTTGTAGTTATTGGCGTCTAATCGACTCACGCACAACTGGATCTTCTATCAAATTTAAATTCACTCTTAAGATTTTGTTATCTTCTTTTTGTTTTGCCAATGTTATTTTGTTCGCTGCATTTTGAGCTTTAAACAAATCAAGCTCATATTGTTTTTGGAGTAGCTCATGATTGTGTTCGAACATTCCTTTGAATTGTGTAGTTTGTTGTTCCATTGCGGCAATAAATTGATTGCGCTCATCCGAGAGTTTTTGCTTTATCTTTTCCTTCTTCCTTCCCGTAGGACGTTCACCTACATTGTTCATTTCATTACAATGTTCATCAGATTCAAAATCATCATTCAAATCAACAGGAAATGAGGAAGAGCCTATTGACTTCTCAATTCCGAAAGATTGTGATTGTGATCCTTCAGAAGTTCTTTTTCGACCTCCAACATTTAGCAAGCTTCCAGTTCTGCAATATTTCTGCATGTCTTTGACAATAGGCCATACATGATCAAACTTAAATCCACCTTTGAATTTGGGATCTTGCTTTACTAACTCCTTTGCTCTATCAAGCTGTTATAAATAAAATATAATTCAAATTAAACAACGCAATTAAAACAAAAAATAAGAAAAAACTAAATAACACAAATTTACAAGATACTCACAATATCTTGTTCAGATGCACCACTTGGGTTCATGTTCTCTATTTGTTGAATGCATCCTCTTAGTTTGCTGACCGATGTTGATATCATTGCCCAACGACTATGCAGCGATCTTGAAGTTCGGTCAGTACAAATGTGTGTCGGTAGCATACAAGCATATTCTTGTGTAATGTGTTCCCATAAATCTGTTCCAGAGCGATCATTGCCCTTTTTAGGATCTTGGGCAATATCCATAAATATAGTACAAAAGAGTTTATCTTCTTCATTTGAGTATGAGGAAGTTCGGATTGAACGTGAGGCTTTTGACATATTTCAATGACTATTAAACTAGAAAGAAATGTAAAGAGATTTTGATATTCAAAAGATAGGTGGTATTACTTCTAAAATCGAATTGCAGTATTTATAGAGATACAAACATACCAATGAACAGATGTGATCTTCACGATCTAATCTAACGGTTCTAAACAATTCAAATAAACGCTGATTCAAAGATGCATGTGATAGCTTTTATTGGAATATGTGTGGAAAAGGACAAGCATACCAATGAACGGATGTGATCTTCGCGATCTAATCTAACGGTTCTAAGCTATTCAGACAAAAGCTGATTCAAAGATGCATGTGATAGCTTTTATATTGGAATATGTGTGGAAAAGGACAAGCATACCAATGAACGGATGTGATCTTCACGATCTAATCTAACGGTTCTAGACAATTCAGATAAAAGCTGATTCAAAGATGCATGTGATAGCTTTTATTGGAATATGTGTGGAAAAGGACAAGCATACCAATGAACGGATGTGATCTTCACGATCTAATCTAACGGTTCTAGACAATTCAGATAAAAGCTGATTCAAAGATGCATGTGATAGCTTTTATTGGAATATGTGTGGAAAAGGACAAGCATACCAATGAACGGATGTGATCTTCACGATCTAATATAACGGTTCTAAGCTATTCAGATAAAAGCTGATTCAAAGATGCATGTGATAGCTTTTATTGGAATATGTGTGGAAAAGGACAAGCATACCAATGAACGGATGTGATCTTCACGATCTAATCTAACGGTTCTAAGCTATTCAGATAAAAGCTGATTCAAAGATGCATGTGATAGCTTTTATTGGAATATGTGTGGAAAAGGACAAGCATACCAATGAACGGATGTGATCTTTACGATCTAATCTAACGGTTCTAAGCTATTCAGATAAAAGCTGATTCAATGATGCATGTGATAGCTTTTATTGGAATATGTGTGGAAAAGGACAAGCATACCAATGAACGGATGTGATCTTCGTGATCTAATCTAACGGTTCTAAGCAATTCAGATATCTTTTATACCAAAGATACATGTGATATCTTTTATCCCTATAAAAACGTTCTGCATCACCAACAAATTGAACATTCATCCCCTTATCATCTATCTCTAAACATACGAATTCAAATATGAATTCCAACACTGGAAAACGTCCTATGACATTTTCTTCATCATCATCCTCATCTTCCTCATCCTCATCATCGGATTCCGAGCACAATCTCGCAAGTGCAATACGAGCACAAACACAATTATTAACCAATGCATATACTAGCCACAACCTTGCCATAGCTTCCTACATGGAATATATGGATAATCAACCCCCAAGCCATGGAGGTTCGACTTTTGGTCATAGAGTGATTCATCGTGATCGTGAAGAAGCAGATCGAAGATTATGGAATGATTATTTTTCAGAGTATCCAAAATATTCTGAAGCAATGTTTCGTAGACGATTTCGAATGAGTCGAAATTTGTTCCTATGAATTGCCAATGCTGTTAAAGGCCATGACAACTATTTTGTGCAACGAAAGGATAGAATCGGTAGACTAGGCTTATCTACTTTCCAAAAAGTTACAGCGGCGTTTTGAATTTTGGCGTACGGAATACCAGCAGATGCAACAGATGAATATATCCAGATTGGAGAATCAACTGCAATTGAAAGTTTGAAGAGATTCTGTCGAGCAATTGTAGAGGTCTTTGGGGAGCGATATCTAAGAGCACCTGATGCTAATGATGTTGCACGGTTGCTTCAAATTGGCGAAAAATGTGGTTTTCCAGGGATGCTTGGGAGTTTAGATTGCATGCACTGGACTTGGAAAAATTGTCCAACTGGCTGGGCTGGTGTAACACCCCAGATTTTCAGGACGTTTAAAACTTATAAAATGAAGGTGAAAACTCATTAATTCAAAACGTAACATAAAGAGTACGGGGTGCTATGCCACACCTGAGCTAGAGAACTCAGGTGCACAGGCCAACTAACTAATATCCTTAACAAAGTAAATGCATAACATGGCACGCAGGCCGAAAGGGAACTATCTACTTCTACGTTCCAAGATCTAGCGCGCTCCAGTGACTTATTCTTCTGTGCCTGAAAGCCAAATATATCTGTTCAGCGAGAGATGCTGGTAACCCACTCCAACGCGTTGAAAAACAATACATACATACATATATATATATATATATATATATATATATATATATATATATATATATATATATATATATACATAGATATACGAAAAGTCATTTCAAAGCATGAAGATGTATCCTAAGAGACTCTAGCTTTCAAATCAGGGAACCGACTCGACAAATAGGGGTACACACAATCTGCAGTCATAACCAAGCATGTACAACTCTCACATAGGAAACAGTCATAGATAAGCACAACCAATAATCACAATTAAGCATTACTAGCAAGAGCCCTATGGTCACGTTTCCATAACAGTCATATCATCAATCCTTCGCATCTCATCATATAGCACACTTTGTTGGCGCCACAGGACCAATTGCATGCCCATACATGAGGGTCAGCGCATATAGCTCTGACACGGCCCCACGGCACCCTGCCCCGTCTCACAATACGGAGGGGTTGATCGCAATCGACCGATGAGCCGCAGCTCTATATAATATTTATATGCCTGACCGGTCTTTACCAGCCTGGTTAACTGTTGGGATGGTTCTCAACCCATTCAACTGCCCGTATAGTGGACCTTTGTCCTATATAATATTTATATACCTGACCGGTCTCTACCAGTCTGGTTAACAGTTGAGATGGTTCTCAACCCATTCAACTGCCCGTATAGTGGACCTCAGTCCTATATAATATTTATCTACCTGACCGGTCTCTACTAGCCTGGTTAACAGCCGGTATGGTTCTCAGCCCACCCGACTGCCTGTATAGCCCGATTGATCTCAACCAAATCGGGGTAACATGCACACATAACACATAGTAAGCACATGCAACCCACATTAACACATTGGGAAGGGGGGAAAACGTATAACAAAACCTATGCGTGATCCTTCACATATTAAGAATAGTCCTAAGGGTTTCATACTTCTTTCACCTAGGTCAACGAGATACCAATTCAACTAGCATGCAATATATAAGACTCATACGACCTACGAACGGTACCCGAAAATCAAACTAGACATAGGCATGATAGACGGAGTCCGTTAGGACACCACGGGGGTCGGGGGAACATCAAATGGGGAAGCCGGGATCCCGAAGTGGGGTACAAACCAGCGGGTAGCCGGTGGGTGAGGGGTCACCCGCCGGCTGCCCGCCGGCGTTTTACTATTCCGGGCAGCTGCCCGCTGCCGGCGTTGCCCGACTAGGCCGCGGGTAGGTGGCGGGTCCCCTACCCCAACCTACCCCCCACTGACTCTTTTTCACCAAAAACGCCCCGGGAACCTTTGTGAAACCCGAAACCATGCTTAGACACTTTCAACGCAATTGATAGCACATGTAGACAACTCATGGATCAAAATCAATAAACATACGGCACATAACCTATCATGCTTTTCTAAACGTAATCAACACCCAATCATGCGAATTCCCACCCAATATACCAAGAATAATACCATACGAATTCCACGATATAACCTAGGGTTCTAATTATTTTTAAATCAACAAGAACACAATTCACCTTCCAAAATCAAGATTCGGTAGGAATATCATATAACTATCAAGAACCTCATATAATCATTAAGAACATTAAGAACACCATATAATTATCAAGAACGTCATGTAATCATCAAGAACACCATAATTATCAAGAACCTCTCCTTATCAAGATCACCCATGGAATCATCCCACCAATCATCAATAATAATATCACAAATAATCAATACACAATAATATGGGGAAATCCTAAGAGGGGAAACATAGCTATGAAAATAGGTTTTGTTGAGACATGAGTTACCTCTTAGCCTTAATTAATTCCTTGGCTATGAAGGGTCTTTCTTTAAGCTTTCTTGCTTTCTTGATTTCTTCTAAGGGGATTCTTGGAGCTCTTTGGGTGGTGAGAGATTATTGTGGTGGGGGTTCTAGGTGCCTCTTAAGTCCCCTATTTATATATTTAGGAGTCCTAATTAGGAACTAATATTATAGGCTTGCTAATTCTATTCCTTTTGGGACTAAGGATTGGGTTTAGGGATAAGGGTCTATGGACTATGGTGGGCCTTTCCTAATTAATTATTGTGATTTAATTCTTTCTTTTGGGTAATTGGTTTTAGGGATCGTAACACGGGGTGTGCCCTGTGTATCAGGCCCACCCGGCCCAATGAATCTCTTAAGTTGGAACTGCCGTGGGCTGGGAAACTCATTGCCAGTTCAGTTCTTGGCGGGCTTGGTTTATCAAAAACGGCCCAACATCTTATTTCTGTGTGAGACTTGGAGTGATACGAGACGGCTTGAGAGGGTGAGGGTGAAATTAAAATACGACAACTGTTTTGTCGTCGATTCCAGTGGTAGAGGTGGGGTTTGGCTCTTCTGTGGAGTGCGGGGGTTGATGTGG